TGGGATTGTGTATGTAAAATATTCAAATAGTATTGAATGAATATTCTTTATTTATTTCAGGAATTTTTTGTTAAGTAGAGCTAAAATGCAGTCCTTTTTGGAGATCTGATCGATCCTGAAATTGTTTGATATATTTCCAATCGCTCTGCAAAAGGAACTAGTTCAATAGCTAGTTCATTCCGTTTGTGTATATTTTTCAAGTTTATAATTAATGTTACATGAACTAAACCGGGATCCAAATAAATTACTATGTATGAAATAACCTACCGTAGACTTGAGTCTAAAAAAGAGACAAATGGAGAGTGACAATTTTAGTTCTTATCTAAAGTTGGGTGATCTAGTCTACGGAGCGAATTTATCTTTATCGTTCCTTTTTAAAAAAGAAACTAGTTCCTTTCTTTCATATAGTTCCGACCACATTTCAATTCATTCATTTGAATCTCTTTCATCGTTGTTTGTATTATTTCGTTCACATAGTTCCGCTTTGATAAACAATTTGAGCAATAATAAAAAAAATTTGTTTTTAGTTAATTTCTATTTAGTAGAATATTCAGATGCTACAGAATTGAACTGCTTTTAAACAATATGAAAAGTTCTACTTTTAAACAATATGAAAAGTGAAAGATACTGAATGATGAATATGGGAATAAAGGAATGAGAGCAGAAAACAGGAAATTTAGGAACTAAAAAACTTAACCTAGTTCCTTTCGTTCCTTTTACGGAATAGTTCCAGTGATCTAGTTCGTTCCAGAACTACCCAGCTCTATTCTTATCTTAAGTGGACTTTATACAAATATATATTCCTGTTTAACTAAGTTCTCTCTCTTTTTTTAAAAAAAATGTTTGTTCAATACGCGAACAAAACTATATGAACTGATGGAACTTAATGAACCACTGGAGCAAAAATAACTAGGTGAAAGATACGCAGTTAGTCTCAATTGTTCCTATTCAAAATACTTTACCAGTCGTCAACATCGAATTGAATCGAATTTATATATTCCTTAAGATTTGGTCGTTCGAGTGGTTTAAGATAGACAAAAAGACATTCCTGTTTAACTAAATTATCTCTCTCCTTTACAAAAGGCATGTTCCATACGTGAACAAAACTATTTGAACTGATTGAACTTAAAGAACTAGAAAAAAATGAATCACTGGAACTTGGGTCCTTGTTAAAGATTTGATAACGGGGAAAACTCTCCACAATGATAAAAGGCAGTGAATTTGATATTGGGCTAAGTTAGATTATTTTAAGTAGTTCCTAAGGAAAAATGTTTTGCAATAAAATCAGAATTGAAATATGTAAATATATGTATGTTAAAGGAGAAATTTCTAATTAATATCTCATACCTTTTGTAATCAAACAAAATTTATTTAAAGAGTTTAAAAGTAAACCTTTGTCGTGTTAACGTCTTTTAACCTCAAAATACATATCGAAAATATCTAATCAATTGTTATCGATATACAGACTTAGTGATCCCTAATTTGATAGTTACTAAACAGCTGATCTCATTTAATATATTTAATTACGGCTTATTTATAAGGTCGAAAAATGAAGACCTGATAATAGCACGCGTGCTGTCAAACGCTTTCCAATTTAAGAAAACGTATACCAAATTGTTGATCTATATCATGGCACAATAAATAGGTAGTCTTCATTAACTGTCAAAGTGCGTTATTTCTACTTGAATTCGATGTGCAATGTTGCCAACCATGTGAAATATTATATGGAAATATTTGACAGATGGATTTCGATTAAATTCTGTTTGACTCTTTAAATGGGCCTATACAATAAAAAACTACAGGTAAAGACAGAGGTTTGCTTTAACAAAATCAAATATTTTTTTAAACAAATCAAATTTAGCCTGTCTACCTTGACATCAAGGCGATTATCCTTTTTATTCACATTCTTTGTTATTCTTTTTTTTAAGATAAATAACTTCCTTGACCTCATCCCACATATTGGTTACCACCTGAATTTTTTGTCACAAAACAACGGTTAAGGTGTAATTCACGGCCCACATAATCACGTTATGCAGCCTTCTTATAGTGTTGGACATTTGTTTCAAAACAGAAAATTCTTTGGATTATTGTAATTATTTTGCATTTTCCAATATATGTATAACTAACAAAAAACCGAAAACAAGTTCTCTCTCTAAAGACCCAGTGTCAGGTCTCTCGTAAAAATCGAAAAAAAACACTAAACCAAATTCCAAAATGCACTTGTTAACCCCATGCTAATGTTGGCGGTCAACATCAACACCATTGCCGTTAACAACTGATCTTGTTTTTTTGTTTCGTGTGTTTGTTGTAGTTCGAACCATAATTCAAGGTTATCAAAACAAATATTTTCAAATCTATCTCCACATGGTCGAAAAAACACCACCAACAACAACAACAACGGGTATACAACACAATGCTCACACTCAGTCAATTTGCGGTCTATTAATGGGCTAAAATAAAACTAAACCGAAAAAAGAAAAAAAAAACACTTTGCGATCTTGTTCTTGGAATATAACAACAAATAGAAACAGAAAAAAACTAATCGAAAACAATTTTATGGTAAAATTATATCGCGCGCGCATTTTCAAAACTGCCAAAACATGTATATGACGTTGGTAGAGAGGGTGAGAGGCGCACACAAAAAAAGTAACAAAGCGTCCAAGTGTCAACACATTTGACGGTCAAATAATGCACAACATTTTGAACTTTGAATTAATTTATAGCCAAAAGGCAAAATGTATATAATAACTAAAGAGTTAAAACTAGAAAATATAAAAGCAACAACAAGTGGAACAATAAAAAATTATTAATTTGATAAAAACAAGTGATGAAATATAATAATTGAAAAATCAAGAAAGAGTAGGTTATGGGGCAAAAATGCATGTGGAGGAATATCAACACCGCAGAAAAAGCATAAGCTAAAGTTTTTTTTCAACTGTTGACATTTCTTATAATAAATAATGTGAAAATAATCTGACAATTTAATTTTGTCGTCACATTTTCAAAATTCGTTATGCCCCCGCTTAAACATGACTTGTTATTGTCTTTTATTGACACAACATATCATAAATTGTCAATTAAATTCTAAAACTATGACTATGCTGTCTTTGTCTCATGGGTTTCACATAAAAAAACTCGATCATGTTGAATTCTAAACAAATTGACATTTCAATACCACATGAATTAGTTTAAAAAATTAAAAATAAGCTATTCTGCATAAATTTTATGTTCGTTTTTTATGTTCATACCCACCAGCATAGGATGGGGAGTACATTAAATTAGTCAATTCGTTTGCAATACATCGAATAACCGGAGACCCCAGAATAAAATTCTGATCAGAATTAAATTCTGTGGATTAAAATCACAATGAAGTCCCAATATTTAAAATCGAGCTTAGAAAATTTGCTGATCAGAATGTTTGGGATTTAAAATGAGATTTATAATTTTGACATAGCTCTCTCATAGCTTTTAAATGTTTTTGTTGCATTTTCCAACTGAAGGGCTGTAATTCGGCATTGCATTTTCTTAGGAGCTGAAAATTTTATACACAAAAAAAATTAAAGTAGGCGTCCGGTGACATGCCATCCCTCGCCCTCCCTAATAAGTTCAAAGCGTATTTTTCAACCGACGTAGTTTTGACAGATTCATATTTATACAGTTTATGTATTTTCAGGCCCCGGTTGCCTCTTCTAACCGATGTGACTGTAATTTGGCATTCTTCATTGTTGGTGTGAAAACAAGTTCTTCACAAACTATTCTCAATACAGCGCCATGTTTTCACACATAAAAGTACCTCCGCTTTCGAATCTAATGCAGATTTTCCAACCAGTGTGGCCTCAATTTAATTTTCAGTTTCCTTATAGGGTTAAAAAATGTTAGTAAAGTCTATATTTTGACATAGTCCTGGTCTCATTTTCGAACCGATGTGGCTGTAATTAAACATTCCACCGAATAATCAGAAATTGGTAATATATAGATCAAAATTCTTTAAGTTTTTTTCATGGTCTTAGCTACACTTTCCAATCGATCAGAGAACATTTATCATTCCGGGATTTTAGTGGATGAAAAACGACTCTACTGAAAATTGGTATTGTAGGTCCGAATTTTTTCATAGCCCAAATATGAAGGTTTTTTTTTTGAAACTCATAGGCGAATTTTCGGGCATGATTCTTAAATTTGATATTTCGTTTTCTCAGAGCCTAAAAATCTCATAAGGGTACCATAACGTAGTCTCCATTGTATAATTCGTTCTGATTTTAGGTATTTTTAAGCCTAACTCGTATTGGAGAGCATAAAAAGTGGTTCCCAACCGAACTTAATGAACATTTTCATTCCAAAAAGGATTCTCTCGTTTTTCGTAAGACCCCTTATCCGGCCGCCCTAAAATACTTTTTGAGCTTTTTTTCGTCTTTGAATACTTCAAAAGCTATAAATACTCTCTGGTCTATAAAGACTTTCCGAACTTCAGCTAGGCTATAACCGGTAAGATTCGGTTTGTCTATCAATATTCCAGAGCTTCAGCTCATCTGAGCATCAGCTCGCCTATATAGATTGCCTGAGTATCAGCTGGTTTATGAAGACATCTCAAGCTTCAATTCTTCTATAATGGCTAACTACCCTTCAGCTCGTCTACAAAGATTCCTGCTAATCAACTACCATAAAAAGACTCCCTTCTTCAGCTCGGTTATAAAGACTCGCCGCATCAGCTCATCTGTAAAAACCCCTTTCAGATCGTCTATGAAAGGCTCAGTCCATCTATGAAATACTCCCTTCAGCTCGTCTATTTCCATTTCATTTATCTCTCGTGTATAAATACATTCCAATAAAACAATTCCGTCGTCTTTTTCCTCCTAATATTAGTTCCTAATTCTAACTTTGTTGCTCTACATAAAATACGATCCCGCCTACTAAATTTATTTTCCCACACCATTGTTTCTTAAATCCGTTTGCAATTGAATTCTCAACTTATCCCCATCTTTTGTTTTTTTATTTCATTTCAGCATTCACATTCCAGCGATAATATTGGCGAGGTCTATCAAGATGAAGAAAATATGGCTGCTATTTTAATGAGACGTCATGAGATTACGGGCGATTTGGTAATGGTAAGTACAAAACACACATTGTTACTAAAAAAACACACACACATTAACAAATAGTTTGCAACAAATTGTGGACCATAAACATAATTATGGTGAAAAAAGCAATTGTTTCTTTCAAGAAAATGACTTCACAAAAGCATAAAAATGTTAGTTAACATTTTTTGGTGTTGTTGTTATTGCTAAGAAATAAAGTCATACAAGTGACCTTGAAAGGCTGGCTACAATTACTTAAAAACGACTAATAGTAGGAAAATATAGTGGAGGGAGAGTTGTAGGGGAGGGGTAAACATGAATAAACCACAAAAAACAACAATGGAAGTTGAGACATATTTTTTGTGGGTTTTCTTACGAAACCTATTAGCAGTAGTTAAAACTGGTTTTGGAGGGTAAAAGAAGGGTTAAGAAGTCAATTTTAATTCGGATAAGAGGATTGTGGTTTCACGTCTCTCTGAAACAACAGGTAATTTTAAGTTTTTATCTGCTTTGTCCAGCCGGAATGGCTGTATTTTCACATTTATTTTTCTTGGGGATAAGCATTTTCTTCGATGGAAAATTTTCAGTATAGGTCCATGTTTTGACCTAGACCCCTCTTACAAAGGTCGCGTCTTTATTTTAGGTAGTTTAATACTTCATGAAAATTATGAAAAAAAAACGAATAACAACAATGGAAGTTGAGAGATATATTGTGTGGGATTCTTAACAAAAGGCCAAAGAGTCGATTTTAGTTCCGAGGTTTCACGTACCTATGAAGCTCCTAATCGACTACCCAATCGTCCTTCGGAGTTGTGAATTGTTCACCATCAGTGTACAAACATTTTGGGTATTTTGTACCCAAATATTCCCCATTTTGATGCTTGTATCTTAAGTCTTTCATATAGTTTTATTTAAATTTTCTAAAATTTTCAAGTTTGCGTCTTATGTCTTTTACTTAATAGGGCTAATGCATGGCACAATGAATAGGTAGTCCATTTAGCGCAGCTGATGTCTCGATTAACTGTCAAAGTGTGCAATTTCTACTTGAATTCGATGTGCAGTGTTGCCAACCATTTGAAATATTATAAGGACAAATTTGACAGATAATCGAGACAAAAACAAAAACCTTTGTTTTGGTCACCTTATAATTGCATCATGGGCTAATGTGTATAATTATCGAAAGTATATGTCTTTAATCTATTATTCAAGATAGAAACGTTTTAGATTTGCACATATGGGTCCTATGAATTCCCTTCAGCTATATCTCCAAAAAAATTGTGTCTTATGTATGGAATTCCTTTAAATGACTGTATTAATGTTTGTTTCTTAAGTCTTTTAGTTAATGTGGCCAAAGTATTGCCCAGCATGATTTATGCAGCGTATAACACTTGTGTATAATATACACACTTTCATGCACTCAAACCAATTTTCGAAACACTTTTTCACTCCGATATAAGGAGGGTGGTAACTAAGTAGGGTGTCAAGCTTAGTTACCACCCTCCGTATGCCATATAACCTGATATCAATCTGTATATCATAATATGCCCTCTAAATATTATTAAACAACGACTTGACTTTTTTCAATAGGTTTTAATATAGTTTTTTTTTATTGTTGTTTTTTTAATATTTCTTGTTTGGTTCTCTTGAAAACATTTTTACCTTTCAAAGACAACAATGTTTCTCTTAATTATCTTAGAATGGTAGAACTTTACCTGATTTTGTTTTTTATTTTTGTTTTTTTTTTAACTGTGAATTTTAGATCATTTTTTTTTGAACATGTGTTTAAATGTTTTGTTTTATTTTTTATTTTTCCCTCTTGTTCTTAACAAACATTCTTTGTTTGAATTTTTTTGCCATTGTTTTGAAAAAAAATATAATTGCCGCCACCAAACACTACTAAACTGCATTTAATTTTTATAGTCCACTCGGATTTTTTTGCGCTCATATTTTTTTTCTTTTACATTCTTGTATTTGTTGTTTGTTTTTGTAATCTTTAATTGAGTGGGAAGCGATTTGTTGTCCGTTTGTTGTTGTCGAAATAAATTTCTTGTTTTTAATTGTTAATTGCATGGTTTATGATCCAATTGTTTTAAAGTAAGAAAACGAGGATCACGTTTTCTAAAACAGAGTTGTCGTTTTGGAATGCGACGCAAAACATGGGAAGGAGACGGTTAGTAGAAGAGATTTTCAAAGAAATATTTCTATAATTTTAATATTTAAAAATAGCAAATATTGAATTTCTTTGGCTTGAGACTAAATAAAATTTGGTTGTTTGTAAATTTTCAAGGGACAAAATTCGGAATTTATGTTTTATATGAAAAAAAACAAGGATCACTAAAACAGAATTGTCGTTTGAACTGTCGTAACTAAGGGGCAATACATTTACTAGAAGAGAATTTTGAAATATGTGTATAATTTGTATATAAATAAGAAAAACTACTGACTTGAAATCGACTAAATAAAATTTAGTTGTTTGTAAAACTCCAATAAACAAAATTCAAAACTTATCCAAATACTACATTTATATGTGCAATAGGCATTTCATGTATGCTTCTTAAGTCTTTTGTTTTTGTTTTTTTTTTTTTCTTCTTGAAAGACACTTGATTTTGAGTTAATATCAGTCAAATAGCCATCACTAGCACATATAATTTTTATCACACGACTAAATCTAAAATTGACTGCCTTTTGTTCTCATACCTTGAGGTCTTGAATCGACTTTTGTCACGTGGCATCATGGAAGTAGTCACAGACTGAGAAATCATAAGATCTCGATGGTCAATTATTTTGAACTCTTCCAAAGATAACTTGGTCCCCAAATCTTTTCCTTATATGTTATGTAGCCACTGAGGTGAAAAGGAGACGGATCATTTCCCTGCATTTCAATGATCCCTACAAAAAGGTCATTGCTTCGGTCCAATTCGGACCATAAAAAATATGAATCATCTCTCTGATTGTGCTACCAATAAATTTACAGAAACTGTTGATGGAACTTAATTTTCTCGGTTTCAAAAAATTGAATTATGTATTTTATTTAATTCGAACCTACATTTATTCATGAATGTTCCTGTACAATTTCAAGTCCTGTACAATTTCAACAACTCTTGAAGATATAGCCGATTTATTGTGTCAGCATCAACGACGACAGAAGTGCTTCTCAAACTGTAAACGCGTTTTTCTCGAAACAAAAACTAATTTGTGTGCATACATAGCTATGGTATGAGCCACGATAAATGTAATCGGTCAAGATCTTCCTCACTTTCTAACTTGGTTTGTGGTCGAAAATAGGGGATTTTCAAAAAAAAATTATATGTCCGTTGTTTTGTTATTTTTTGTACGATGTTAATAATCCTAGTTCATACCAGAGTTCGAATGCCTATGGAATTTTTGGATTCGACTGATCCAAACGTATAATTATTAGGTCATCTGGCGTACAATCCTTACTAGGGACCCAACGACTTCCTTTTATTTCCCCATATCAAGAAAAAATGCAAGGTCAATGATTTTCGCCGCCAGACGATGCTATTGAAGCGTTCAGAAACCATCTTTTAAATACACCAGCGTACAATAATTGAAAAACATCAAGGATTCTAGATTATAAATAGGCGCAAAATCAGACCTCATCCACGTTTTTTAAATTAATTTTAATAAAATTAAGCGGAGCATTATAGTCGGACAGACCGACTAGAGGTCAAAAAATATTACTACTATTCAGTACAGCCCTTCTAATTACTTGTCCAGATTCCATTCACCGTGGGTTGTGTTGTGATGTTCGGCTTTCAATTGTGGCCTATAGATCAACTCGAAAAAACACAAAAAATTAAGTTTTCGGTCCACTTTATCCCGATATTATTATCTGATGATCACCGAAAATTATAGGCGTTGTACTTGACCATACCTGGATCCTCATGGAAAATTTCAAAGCGATCAGCGCTATATTTTCTACCTCTAGTGTGGTAATGGGTTATTAAATATATATTAATGCGTAAGCACCTGTAAGTATTTAAGTGTAACTCCCACATTCGTGTACATAGGACAATAAAAAGGTCAACCTCTCCTCTTGGATATACTTTAAACATTTCGGGTCTATATACTTCAGGAGTAAATATATACGCTATAGAATAAACATTTTGTAATTGTTCACACAAAAGTCAGAGCCTAATTCACCCGCTAAATATTGACCGATCTTTATCAAAACAGGCATGCTTATTTTTTGGCCCGATCCCCTTCTCCATGTAAAAATTCGCGATATTTGTGCCATAATTGCGGCCGCTGGAGTGACCAAAAAATCCATTCATATCATAAGTATTAACCAAAAATTTACCAAAAAAAATGGGTCTTCATTGAGCAGAATCCACCCTACATGCCAAATTTAGTGAAGATTGGTCCATTACTGTGACCTGTATCGTGTTTACAAATTATAATGAACAGACGGACGGACACACATGTGTAGATCGACTCAGCTAGTGGAAATATAACGATCGGTATAAAAATTGATCTAGGACCAATATTTCGCGGCCTTACAAACTCTTGAGGCTGCACAAAACTATAATACCCTGACAACATAGTTGTGTAAGGTATAATAAATTTTATTAGCTTAAGAAATGTTTCCTAAAAAATCTACAGTTTCAAGTTTATGTCTTAAGTCTTTTATTTTATTGCAATGATTAATTTCCCTGAAAAAGTCAAACATTTTCATATTTTTTGGACAATGGGCGATGGAAATTTTACCCTCTCCTTGGCTACGACCATATAACATTTCAATTTACGTTTTTCTTGCTGAAACTGATTAATATCATTAATTTATTGGTTCAAGACATTAACCAAGCCAAAACCATTTCAATGTCACATTAACAGATATAAGAATAAAATCAACGAATGGCATCAAGTCTTTTAGTAGCCACCTTGAAATCGATTGACTTAAAATTTAGCCCGCCATGGGTGTAACAACTAAAACTAATGCAAAACTAGAATTAATTCATGATTAAACGTTAAAAACAATCCATACATAATTTTATGTTGTGTGGGTGTAA